TCTCTCTCTCTCTCTCTCTCTCTCTCTCTCTATATATATATATATAATAACTGAAGGCAAAATTTTCAAGCCTGCCAACAGAGGAGGAGTGATAGTAGCAGTAGTAGTAGTTTCATTTCCTGTTTTTTAATAAGTAAGTGCAGTACAGGTAAATCAAAATGATATACAGTATAAACCAATATAACAATAAAGCAATATAATGATAATGGTAAGGCATTTCTTAATAGAATATAATAATCAATAAAACAATTCCTAATAGTAGAATAGCTTTAGTGTAGGACTTTGGCAGGGCTACAAAAGAGAACATCCGTAGGTGACCTCACAGCAAATATAGGGTCCATTCTAGGGCATTGAGGTACCAGGGCACCATCTGTTTGCAAATCCTTGGAACAGCTGCATTTTTTTCTTGGAATTGTGGGGTTGCTTTTTTGGAAAAAAAATCTGAAGCATTGCACTGGCCTAGTAGATTCATATGGAAAGACCTACTGCTGTCCTGGTCCAAAGCCATTTTGCAGCTTGTAGTGCAATAAACTTGTACACTAAGTTTGCAAATGGATTTGTAGCCAGCGCTGATATATCAGAAGCTTTGAAGAGGTTTAACCAACCGAGCTACCTTGGACTGACAAATTAGTCTATTTCTAGGGCGTGCCAGTTCTTCCCAGTTTCAGATGATGGTGTGATTAAAAAAAAATCCTTGAAAATGCATATTTTGATAAGTGTTAAAGACTGCCCCTGTTTGTCTGTTTTTTTTAAGGAAAGCAGAGGGTTTAAGTCTGAAGCATTGTAGATTAATTGATGTATATATTGATACAAAGCAGCAAACCTACGCAGTATGTAAGAAAGGTGTAAAAGGAAGTTACTGAAAATTCACTCTTTGTGTCTAAATTAACGATTGTATTCTTTTATATAGGACAGGCCAGTGATTTGACAGAGCTTTAGCATTACCAATTGTCATTATTAATTATACAGTACCATCTATCTCTACATGTATGTTTACAACAAAAACGAATCTCTAGCAAGATCTTGATGATTCCTGTTGTTACAAATTATAAGATCAGACCATTCTCTGGACAGATTACTGATTTTTTTTTCTATAGACACATTTCAACATCATTTTATGCTATTAAATAACAGGTTTGAAATATCTTTGCTCTCTAAATATGCATTTCTAAGCGTATTTTGTCTGAAAAGAAGCACTATGGAATGAGTTTTGATGTGTATTTTTAGTATGCCTGCCCAAAACCTTGGGATAATGAAGAAGCTTTTCTTTAATGTGCTCTGTGAAATGAAGTGGTGTTGCATCATTGCTGTGTTGCATCAAATGGGTCACTTTGCTGACTTTTCATAGTCTTCTGCAATAGGTACACGTGTGCAGAAAACATTTGTGCCAGAGTAAAACTACCTGCTATGATGCTTTTAACTGGAGGCAGACTTCCTTTTTTGCATTGAAGTGTGGCCTCAGAGCAGATGCCCAGTGATTGGAGTCAAGGGGTCTCCAGAACTGAAGCAGCACCTTCTCACAGGACTAATTTTAAGCCAGGATTTGCATCAGCGCATTTCAGAAGGTCAAAAGTTGGCAGATAACTAAGTTCCAATCTGCATATTAGTCCAGGAGCTACTGTATATATGGCA